GGTTTTGCCTGCAGGGTGTCAGTGGTGGGGGGGGGGGGGGTCCCAGGGCCGAGAGGCATAGCCCTGGGTGGGGGTCCCAGGGTCTGACCCCTCTGTTCAGTGTGGGACCCCTGGAGCCGAGGGTGGGGGTCCTGAGCCCCTCAGCCCAGCACAGGGACCCCCCCAGCCCTTCATGGGAGCCCTGGGCCCAAGCCCCCCACTCCACACGGGGACCCCCAGCCCAGCTGAGCCCCCCCAGCCCTTTATAAAAACCCCAAGCCCCTCACTCCCCACAGGGACCCCCAGCCCAGCTGAGCCCCCCAGTCAAGTGTGGGGTCCCGGGGCCAGCACAGAGACCCCCAGCCCAGCCAAGCCCCCCAACCCCGACCCCCAACTCACCACAGGGACCCCCAGCCCAGCTGAGCCCCCCAACCCTACACAGGGATCCCGGGGCCCAACTCCCTGCTCAGCACAGGGGCTCCCAGCCCTCCCGAGCCCCCAGCCCCACACGGGGGTCCCTTCCCCGAGCCCCCCCACCCCCTCTCAGGACACGGGGGGCGAGGGTCTCCAGAAGCACCACTTGCTGCGGGGGTGCTGCTTGCGCTGCAGCTGCTCCTCCCGCTCCCTCTCCTTCTTGGAGCGCAGGTACAGATCCTCCTCCTTCAGGTACCACACCGGCGGCCAGCGGTGCCGCTCGAAGTGCGCCTGGTTCTCTGCGGGGACATCTCGGGGTTCAGGGCACCGCTGGGGTGGGGGGGACCCCCTTCACCGTGTGCCCCCCGCCCCACGCCGTACCCACCTGGGGACATGAACTTCATCTCGCGGGGGAAGCGGCGGCACACGCGGTTGTAGTTGGTGCAGATGTAGTGCAGGCACCACGCGGCCAGCTGCCGGGCGTTGTGGAACTGGGGGTGGCGGGGATTTTTTTGGGGGGGTCACCCCATCAGCTAGCAGTCTCTGTGCCCCCCTCCCCCGTTTCCGGGGGTCCCCGTGCCCTCCAAACCCCCCCATACCTGCGTCATCTCCAGGTAGATGATGACCTGCTCGTCGATCTCCACGCGCTGCATGAAGGCTCGCAGCAGCTCGTCCACCGCGTATTGCTCTGGGAGAGGGGGGGGGGAAATGGGGGTTCACGGAGTTTGGGGGGTGCGCCCCCTCCCCTGGGTCAGCGGGACCACCCCCCGCGTTTACATAAGGACAGCGAATGACACGCGGGGACGATCGATCCGTCCCCGCGGCACCGGCAGGGTATCGGCAGGTGACGTTAGGGCTGCGGGGGGATACCGGGGGATACCGGGGGATACCGGGGGCTCACCGGTGAGCGCCTGCAGCCGCGGCAGGCACAGCCGGTCCGTGAGGATGAGCAGCTCCATGGCGTCCAGGTCGGGCGTGGGGGTGAAGACCCCCGTGTAGAGGAAATCCAGGACGGCGCGGAGGCAGGCGCAGTTGGTGCCGGGCAGGGACACCTGTGGGATCCGGGGGAGGTTTGGGGGGAGTTCAGAGCCACCCCCAAAGGGAGCTGGGGGAAAGGGGGACCCCCCCCTGGCACAGCCCCGGAATAGCCCCCACAAGCCAGGACAGCTCCCAACTTTCTCCTCTGGAAGTAGGACACGTGTGTCCCTGTGCCAGGGGGTCTGAGCTGCCCCCTGACCCCAACCAAAGATGCCCACCCTGCCCCACAGAGCCCCAGGTGCCCTCCTGGTCCCCACCTCGCCGGCGTAGCTCTCGCGGAAGCCCCCTCGGAACATGGCCCTCATCCAGTCGCAGCCGGCGATGAGCAGCGGCTTGTGCGCCGGCACCGCCCCGTCGTCCACGCGGAACACCACGTCTGGGGACAGGGGACAGCTCGTGGTGGGGACAGCCACCCC